AATCTGTAAAAATAACTAATTCCCTGTGACCCAATCAAATACAATTGAGCAGTAAGAAAGTAAAGGTAAACATGGAGAGAAAGGTAAAGCTCTAGTTATCAGGAAGACTTTGCTTTTTTTGCAGGTAAATGATAATAAATGGATTGGTCATTGTTGACAGTTAGAAAAGCGTGAAGAAGAGGAGCAGAAAAAAAGAGGAGGAGAAGAAGAAAAGGGAAAAAGTCAGAAAAAAATGACGAAGAGAAGAGTGGAAGAGAAGATAATTTTAACAGATGAAAACTGGACCTTGAAGTTGTATTTGAAGAAAGTAGTTCAACAGATTTGTTACTTTGACAGAGAGTTGGGTCAACTTTTGCTCTACTCGGTAAACGGCTTTTGACACACATATCCATTTATTTGTATATTATTACAACCGCAACATCATCTATTTGCCCTTGGCTTTTCACTCTTCCCTTGCCTTTCACTGTAAACACATTATACTGGAACCAACAAAAGGCGTCTTTGTAACTATTTAAAGAGTGCAGCCTTTTCCCTTAACCCACCCCTGGACCCCTGCCTCCCTCTCCTCCTCTATCTTCCATTATCATCATCTCTCTCTCTCTTCACATCTTGCAACCTCTAAATACCCTTTGATATGTATATAAGGTTAGATTGTATTTATAAATTGTATTCACCAAACCTTGAAGTGCCTTGTTAACCATCCAAAAATGTTATCCATTGAAAGGCCAACATATAACAGCAACATGAACCACACACAGCTATAATAAATGATAATAATGCAAGATGATAATAAAATGATAATCACACAAAGAGAATCATATTTATGAGAATTGTTACCCTTGAATGTTGATTTTCAATCATTTTAAAACTCTTTCTCTTGTTACCTTTCAATTTGCGCCTTTAAACATCCATGGAAAAGGTGAAATGCTTAATCGCCCTTGACCCGAACAGGGCTCTTCTTACCAATTTGATACAGAAAAGTGTAGAGAAAGAAAGCAAAAGAAAGACTGAAAATGATTATTGATGATATTGCATTCAACTTGATGAGTATGCATGAAGTACATAATCAAATTGATTAGTACCTTTAACATCAATTGTTAACCTAATCAATTTAACCTTTCAATTTTCATCTCTATTCATTGCCAACTTTTCATTTACAACAACATTATTATAACATTACCATGACCATTATTGTTGCATCAATATTAATACCAATCATAATGATAAGGTTTACATTTCAATATCGATATTTTTTCCCTTCACTCGAAACACTTTTTCACATTCATTTCAATGTTGTCACAACAATACAAAATGCAAATAAAAGTGTAAAACTTGATATAAAGTACAAATAAATTAACCTTTGATATTTCATTAAATTTACTTTGAAACCAGAAAATTAAATCAACTGTAAATTGATTTCATTTCTGTTTGAAAACCCAATTTTATCCTTATCCAAGTTATTGAGCAAAAATGGTAAAAGTTTCCGTTGAAAAAGACTTTTGTTTTTTCACCAAAAAAAAAGGGAATCACATTTTACCTGATTCCTGGTAATGAGATTTGTAATGAAAGATGAAAATTGTTTTCTTACAAATCTCTCAATCTTTCATTTTTATGCATCAACAGCTATCAACATAAACAGTGTATACAAATAGACAAATGTTTAGCTTGTAAATTGAACTTGATTTGAATAGGATATTGAGTGGCAATGGCAAGAGCATTGGCTTACAGTACTTATATCAAGTTACCTTTACCTTGAAATATAATTCCCTTACCAAGTAACCAGAAATGATGATAATGATGAAAAGAAGAGAAGCAAAAAATTATCTCAAATTAACTGAAACATTATTTCTTTTACCTTACAATCAATTTTTTATCATTATCGTTGTTCCTCCTTAAAGATGATGACGATTAACTTGATCATCATCATCATCATCATTACTTGATATATAAAAAAGCAGAGCGATTGGGAGACAAATTGAGTAGACAATGAAAGAATGAAGAAAAAAAAAGAAATTGTTTAACCTTTTTTTCTTCTTCTTCTTTTCATTTTGTTTATTGTTGATGTTGATGCTGTTTGAGCAGTCACTTGAAATCGTAGGTAATCCTGGTTACGATTGACCTGTTCTTGACCTTACAGAAACTGTTTCAACTTGTTATTGCAACTTGATAATCATCAAGAGTCTCCCAGTCACTCTGTTCATTTTGATTGAATGTTCAATCAACCATTCAAAGCTAATTCTTCTTCTCTGGCAAAACATCAAAACCTTTTAATTGTAATCAAATTGTTCACATTCAACGTTATCATTACTTGCTCACCGCTCCTTTTCAATCTGGTAAAAAGCATCTCTCTCTTCATTCAATCTCCATCATCATCACCATCTTTATTTGTTTCAATTGAACCCTCAATAATTATCTTACCATCATAATCATAATCATTTTATCTTTATCTCAATCATTATCATTTTCATGGTGAAACTTTTCTTGCCTTTTCTATTTACCAAGTAAACGAGCAAAAAGCGAGAGTAACATGTTCATCCTTTTCCTCCTCTTTTTATCCCTTTTATTCCATCATGATATTCCAGTTGATGATTCTTCTCTCATCTTCTTTCATCCTTTTCTCTTGCAATAATGTTTTCTGATGATCATATCACAATTCAGGTTAACCTTTTTCCCTCTTCCCTGATGTTCATTTCCCTGAAAAAAAGTACAAAACTCTCTTAACTAGTAATCATTTTCATCCTAATCCTTCTCCTCATCAATTCTGTTCAACTTTTTTTTTCTTCTTCTCCTGTTAACTCAGCATTATTTTTCACTCTTTATCTTTCATCCATTTTTTTTCCTTCAACATCATTATCATCATTATCATAATCATTATCAACAACATCCAAGTCAAAATTAAAATGTTCACCAAATAGTTGTATATAAATGGCAAAATTATTACCAGTCCATCAATTTAATTATGAAAAGGCAAAAACTCATATAACATGAATCATCATCATTATCATGTTAGATTCAATTGTAGAGATAAAAACTCGGAAAATGTTTGTTAATGATTAAATGATTGGCTCAAGTTATAAACACGTTATAAGACGCAATATGAGTACCAATTTTGAAGCTTGAAACATAAGCAAAAGCCCTACAACCAAAAAGCTGCCACCAACAGAGCCATTTATTAGCCTAACCTTCATCTTAAAACATCTCCTCATCAACATCAACAATAACTTTCCTCTTGAAGGTCAACAAATGTTCCCATGTTTCATGAATACTCATTATTCAATTTCACATCGCCTTCCTCTTCCCTTGCTTACAAAAATTAACCAAAATCTCGAGTAAATTATATCATCTTGAAAAGTCGCATTTGCACACTTTTAATGCCAAGTAAACATTGACACCATTGCACTCCTTACTTGCCTTTCAAGGTAGCAAATCTAATCTCTTGACGCTTCCTCATTTCGCACACTCGCCAGTGGGAGGTTGCTATCTCATGATGCACGCGTTTTCGTGTCCATCAATTATCACTCTGTTGCTTCTGATTTGCCTGATTGGAAGCAGTTGCTTGAGAAAATCATTTTTACCCATTTACACAATTTATTAATCACTGATGACTCTTATCCGTGCCATTAGATTTGCTCTGCTCAAGATGAATGTTACAAAAAAAGACTCGACTCATTATCATGAATTTACCATGAAAGAGCAACTTGAACAACATGAGATTGTAATTGAAAAACGTGGAAAAATGTTTTTTTAAACCTTTTCTTGTTCAATTTGTTTCAAGTAAAAAAAGGTTAGTTGAAGTTTAATTTTCATATAAATGAGTTGCTCTTTTATTGCACTTGAACATTTGCACACTTGCTAATTGGATAAATATTATTAAATGCTGTTGATTTTACATTAAAACTGTTGCTATTGAGCGGCAATTTAACTGGTTACTGGAATATTTAATTGCTATCATGATGATGATGCAAAAAAATGAGGAAAAATGCTCAAAATTTCAAGTTATTCATTTTTATTAACTTGGGAAAATGGTGAAAACAACGAAAAAAAAGTTACACTAAATGTTAAGTGATGATGAATGTGATGTAGTTAAGTTGCTTTTTCAAATCAACAAAAAGCAAGGTTTTAAGTTGATAAAAAAGCTAACAAAAGTAATAAGCATTGATGTGTCTCTAATTGTGGTTGAATAATTCATTCAGGAAAATTGTTTCCAGGTTTTGTCTCAAGTTTGCGCTACTTTTCAACTCTCTTTTCTGGTCTTTGACTTTCTTCCTTCTCAATGACCTTTATCATCATAATCATCTTTCATTCACATAATCTCATCACTTTCTTGAGTATTTTGTTTTTACTTTTCTTTCTTTTTCTCATCCTTTTCTCATCTTCATCTCTGTTTGATTTGATTGCATTTCTTTTGCCTTTTATGAATTAATAAACACTTTCTTAATAAACTTGTGTTTCCTCATTATCTGATGATGATGATGATATCTTGTGTTAAACTGGCTTGTTTCAAGCTGTTAAAAGATTGTACAAAAGCGTTGATAATAATAATTTGTGTTGACTTCAACGAACCTTAAATCTCAAGCTTGTCACGTAATGAGAGCCAAGAAACTTGTCCTTGTTTATGCAACTATTGTTACCTTTTACTGTCTCTTTTTGTTGAGTGCAGGGTAAACCAAATGAGCGGCAAAATTGACAACATGCGTGTTTACAATTGAGCATTCTTGATGAGTGCAACATGACAACTCACTTTTCATCTGAACCACAAAATAATAATGCTAATAATGAAGATAATAACAAGCAAAAACAATCGAGCAAGCAAGCAAAACATGATTCGTGTTGTTGCTGTAATTGTTTTTAACTTGTATTACTGTCAACTCTTTTTGAAACTTTTTTTTGCCTTCTTTTTTCATTCAACCTTTAATTATTATTATTGAAGGGAAATTTGTCTTTTGTTGATTCACAATGATTAATTTTGTGCCATTTCCTTTTGTTGTTACCGTAAACAGGCGAGGGACAACTACATTAGATCTTGTAAATTGTTGCCCGATGGTCGAACCCTGATTGTTGGTGGTGAAGCCAATGCCATTTGCATCTGGGACTTGGGACAACAACCTAGAATCAAAGCCGAATTAACCTCAGCAGCACCAGCCTGTTATGCACTAGCCATTAGTCCAGACTCTAAAGTTTGCTTTAGCTGTTGCAGTGATGGTAACATTGCTGTCTGGGATCTTCATAATCACGCAATTGTCCGACAATTCACGGGTCACACTGATGGTGCTTCTTGTATCGATATAAGTCAGACGGTATAAA